ATGATCCTGCTGACTAACATTTCTTCATTGCAATCAGAACACAGAAAAATGGAAACTTTTGCTGTTTGGGTCCTCTTGTAGCCTTCTCCTGCTTCACCATGTTCAGGCTCAGTGTTCAGATCCCAGGTGTCAAACTCTGGTCCTGGAGAGCTGCTCTCCTGCAGGTTTTTAAGGTTTCCCCGTTTCAACCAACTGATTCACATCAATGTGCCGTTAGCGGGCCAGCACAGGAATCAGATTTAGCCAGAATCAGGTGTGTAGAAGCAGTTAATCAGTTGAAAACCTGAAGGCCTGCAGCCATCCAGGATGGGAGTTTGACCACCTCATGGCTGCTGATTGCTGGGACAAAGTCAGAGGAGCCAAATAAGGTCTCACACTCCTTTGGCAAACTTCTGCTCGGGCCCTTTATCTTTTTCTCTTATCCTAATGAACGTAAAAGAAGATTTAGTTTAAAGTGAAACAGGAATACAGTGGAAATCCTGCCATCAGAGCCCGTTTCTGGGTTGATGACGGTAAAACAAACCGAATTATATTTGGGTGAGTCAGCTCACAGGCTTTTGGCTGCATGAAGTTTAATGGCATTCCTGTTGGACTTGAGCCATAGTTTTCCCTTTTAAATATTGCGATAAGAGAAATTCTCTCATTAAAACTGCTCTCCATAAAGTTTTTATTGGTGATTCCTGTGATTTAAGATTTTTCTGGGTCAGTAGCTCCTAAGCAGGCTCGCATTTTGAATGATTCCTGGTATATTTACCCAGCATTGAAACCCTTTAATGAATCAGGAAGGTTCAACCAAAACCATCAAACATCTGCCGCAGTGACTTCCAAAAAAATAAAAAATCTGTGTGAATATTTTACAATCCGTTTACATTATACATGAATGTTTCTATGTGTTCAGTAGCATAAATACGGTTAAAATAAAACCAAATTGGACAATCATGAAATATGGAACAGTTCACAAACGTTCTGTATCCTTAGTTTTTGGAGGATCTTGGAAAAATATTTTTGCCACTCATAAGTTTATAATTCCTCAGATTGTTAATAAAGGAAATGCATTTTCCTGAGTGTCACAAGTCCTCTTTATTCTGAGTTTGGAGGGAAAAGGTGCCGATTCAATACAAATCTAATCATTGAAAGCTGTATTTGAAACACGGTTTTCATAGAAGTTAGAAAGAAAGAGACCCTCAGGTGCAAATTCCAAAGGAAAAGACTGGATAAAATAAAAATCTGACAATGTAACAAACAGCAAACACCAAATTCCTGATAACAAAACTGGGAAAATTCTAATTATGCAGCTTAAATTGCATTTATAAGTCAGAAATCCTTCAGGTTTGTTCGTGTTTGCAGAATAATTGGATTTTCTGCTGTTTGATGTTTTACTGAGATTTTTTTTAATTTAAATTGTGTATTCTGTCCAAAGTCTGTTTAGCATCTCGGAACCATGGAAAACTGTGTAAAAAGTAAATATTTATCTCCTATCAAAGTGTTGTACGTGCATTTTTTCCTAATTTTCCTACATTTACTCTCCTTTTTACCCCCTAAAAATACCCACAAAGCTAAATTTTGTGAAAATAAAAATAAATTCTCCGACCAAATAAACAGAAAAGAGACCCAGATCTGCACAGTGCCACAGTGACAGACGCCTTGTTTTCCAGCCACTTTTCTTGAGGTGTTTGCTGCCACCTCACCTGTGAAACAGCTCGGTGTTAAAACTATCTCGTTACAGAAGTTTGAGTGACACAATTCTCTAAAAGACAGAAAAAAATCTTCTCCACCACCTCTTTCCCTGAGGCGTCCAACTCTGGAGAAGCCTGGCCCAGTTCTGCTTTTTTTTGTGGCACACTGAGGCTTTTATTCATACACAAACAAGCAAAAAAAATAGTCCTCATAAGATGCTCGGCGTCTCCTGTTGCCATGTCAACAGAGACGAGAGCATGTTTTGTCACACCAGGCAGACTGTATCTCACAGCCTGGCATCGTTTCTGTAATTACTGGAGTTGTTGTGTATCTCTGGGCTTTCAGTTGCCATGGGAACCAACACGACGAGTGCTGTTGTGGCCATTTAAGTTAACTTTTCGTCATTGACATGTTCTGTTTAATTTTAAATAGTTGAATTGTTTAATTTGCACAGAACCATTTTGAATTTAATTGCTGGGATTTATTTAGTCATTTTCCAAGCTCCTCCCATTAATTTGGAAGACTTAAAACAGCCAGGGGTTGTGGTTTTGGGGGGGGGGAATGTCAGGTGTGATGACGGGAGGTTTGCCACAAAGATTTTTTGACCACGCCACACGCCACACGCTATAGGCTACTTTTGTTTTACCTTTTGGATCGACTTTGTTACTTTTTGTTTGCAGCAAAGTTATAATGGAATTTTGTTAGTCATTTTCTTATAATTTTACACATAAATAAAGCAAGTGCATCAAAATAGAAACCCACCTGTTGCCACGACGGCCTTTTTTTTGGATTGAAAGAATTTGGTTAAGAAAATCTAAAAAGGCTGTGATGAGTGCGTTTGTCAAAAATGACTGTGTCCCAGAACAACAAACTTAAAGTGGGGTAATGTTGTTATGTCGGGCCCCCAAATCCGTCTTTGCTCCGCCATTATTTCCCCCTTTGTCACAAGCCTGGGAGCCGCGCTCTTTTGTCGTAGCGTCGCACAATGGACACCACAACATCCGTCCTCGTGTCTTCTCTCTCCCCTCCGTTCTGGGCTCTGGGTCTGGCTTTTTCCTGTCCCCCCCTCCCTTTCTCCCTCCCTCCCTCCCTCCCTCCCTCCCTCCCTCAGAGCCCCATTGTGATGCTGGTTTCAGCTGCCTCAGCCTCTCTCCTGCAGTACGCTGTTACTGTGCAGCCTGAGCCAAGCGCCGCACCGCCTCCCATCCGGGCCCAAGGGAGGGGGGGGGAGGGAGGGAGGGAAAGAGGGAGGGAGGGAAAAAGGGGAGGGAGGGGGAGGAAGGGCTTCAGCTTCACGCTGCAGGCCCGACCAGGAAAAACAAGACGAGAACTCCCATCCCGTCCCGGACTCCCGACTTCTCCGGAATCTATCGATTTGCCTCCTCTGAGCTGAATAATGTTCCCCCCCCCCCCCCCTCCTGCAATCTGTTTCTGCTCTCGTCCGCTGCCTCTCTTATTTCCCCCGATTCGTTTTAACACCAGCAACGGCTGAAAAGCTGCTTACGCAGCAGTTTTCTGAGAGGCGCTAGCACGCACAGCTCTGGTGATCACTGATCGCACATTCGTCTGAGTTAAAACCGGGAGATGAGGAGAAAAGAGGGGGAAACCACTTAAAAACCAGCAGCCCTGTTTATGAAACAGCCTCATGTAAGATATGAGGATGTTTTACTGGAGTGATCACATGCCGACAGTTTCTGCTCTCTAAAAATAAACTCTGCAGCAAAAACGGCCTTTTATACAAATTCTAAAAACTAACTAAAAGTATGTTTAGAAATAGAAAAACTGTGTCTCTGGCTTAAGATGGGTTGTTTGACAATAAGACAGCGAGCCTATTGCAGCATAAGGCAGGAATCCAGCGTTGTAATTTGTCCGGATTTGAAACAGGGCTCTGAAATCCTCTGATCCTCTGGGCCGGGAGCTGCTGCAATCCCTGACCTTTGCTAAATCTTAGTTCTCTCCACAGATGTGCTGCGGGGCAGATTGGGACCGGATCGGACACGGCTTTAGGTCTAGCACCCGACCATTGGTGAAAGCGAAAAAAAAAATAAAAAAGCTTCGTATTTGTCCGATTAAATCCAATTACGTAACTGTGCATTTGAGTCTGCGGGCCTCTTCCTAAAGGCCCCACCGGCATTATGGAGATGCATTAACCACCTACTGTCTCTAAACATTTACACAACTTTAGGTCCAATTTCACACAACATCTCTAATCTTTTTGCTTTGGACGATTATTTTTCTATCTAATCGGTCTTTTTCCTAGTGGTTTAAATCTGTATAATTAAAGCTGCCCCTACCAGGAATAAGCAATAAGCAGAGTACTTTAAAAGTTCAGTGTGCACGTTCCTAATGATGAGGCTGACCTTCCATACAATTAAAGAGGCCATTGGCTGAACGCCACATCAAACAACTAATGAATATGTCTCTGATTCATGACAACTAAAACAAGTTATCTTTTCTATTAACATTCCTGCACCTTGGACTGGATAGGTTTTTAAGATAAGGTCTCTTCTGTTGTTTTTTTACTCTTTATGTTCACCAGAGTTCACCTTTTTCCTCCAAAATAACCTAAACATGTTTGAAATTTGAATTAAATCAGATTGCAACCAATATTTCACACACCCGCATAAAAACTATTTGTTCCACTTTATTCATTTATTAATGCGGGCCTCTGTAATCTTATCAGAAGATAATGCTCTTTACTTCACCATTATCTGATCCTGCTACATTCCTTTATGTCATTACGTAACAACGGGATGAGCTGATGCTCCCAACTCACCCAAAACAAAATGTGCCGTAGTTTAACACAACATCAATCGGCTGGTGTCTGTTTACAAAAAAAGACCCCATTAAATAATGAGGCCTCCTCTTGAGGAATCAATGCTGTCATCATTTGTGTGAATGGCCACAGAGACATTGATTGCCTCGTTATGCTGTTCGGCAGCTTTTTTGGGGCTCAATGGAGAAAAAACTCAAAGGTGCACAGACTTTTGGAGAGCGTGTCCTGAGACAGTTGGATGGTTATGAAGACGGTGATGAGGAGGAGATGAAGAATGGAGTGCAGAGACACCCACACGGAGCTTTGTTTAGCTGATGAGCTCCGCTCCCTGCAGCGTTTTCACAAGCCTGGAAGTCTGCTCCTGAATAATTCAGCAGGCAAGGTCACAGCGCAGAAAACCTCCCTCTGAATCTGCATTTAACACCGAGACTTTGTTGTGACACCTTTAAAACATCCTCCCGCTCCCCCCGTAGTTAGTCTGTGGGGATGGTCCCTTTTCAAAAGACGCCATGGAGCAAATTAGAAGAGCAAAAGCAGCATGGCTTACCTCTGCGTATACCTGTGCAATTCGGTTAATAGTTCGGAGGGGCTTATGGCCTAAAGAGGTCCCTTTCCATTGATCCAATGATGTGCGGGCAAATGCCCAAAACAAAGCTGATTAGAGGAAAAAGCAGCCCCTGTTTGCTCCGGCTCATCAGATCCAGCCTGCATACTGTAGCAGTGCACAAAATCCCACCGGCTCCAGAAGCTGCAAGTTCAAGTTAAACCTAAAAAAACGGCAACACCTGGAGCTCCAGCGTTAAAACAGCAAAACGAGTTCAGATATCCTCTCCAACTGAAAACTCCTCCAGTTTTCTCTGACTTATGGCAGGTCTGAGGACGGTCCCGTATCCCGCTGAAGAGAAGAGGAGATGCTCTGCATAATGCACAAGGTGCGCAGCTGACTTCTGAGGGGAGGAGGGACCTGCATGCGGGCCTGCACCATCCAGCCATCCCTCCCAAGCAAATGGGCACTAAGTGCACACAGTTAGGAGCATTTCCCCACAGCTATCTGAGCATTTGTGGGGTTACAGCCATCCGCTTTCTTAGGAAAATACTCTGGAGGGAGCTGGGAGTGACGCTGTTTCTTTGTGCGCATTTATGGCCAAACTGTTGTTTTTAAGGCTGATTATATAGAGATGGGGGGGGGTGGATGGAGAGCTTTTTTATCACGCCATGACGCCGGTGGTTGTTACGAAACAGCAGCGGGGTGTTAAAGCCCTCAAGACCGGGCTGTTTTTTGTTTTGTTTTTCCCATTTCGGCCCCCCGACCGAGGCACCGCCGGTGGACTTCATTAACCTTCCCTCCCGATCGATATTCATCACTCTCCAACCTCCTGACAAACTGAGGTGCGTGCCCCCCCC